GATGTTGGCGTTATTAGCACCGCACTCTAACCTAGTGGGTAACTGGCCAGCCCTAGTGAAATTTTCAATTCACATATTTTTTCAGCCCCAGAATTTGTTTGGACTTTTTTTATAGTTTTTACTTAATATTCTCATTTTGCTCACGCTTCATTTTCATGATTCCATTTTAGTTGTCTGTGTTCTCCTTTAGTTCCTCGAACATCTTTAAGACAGTTATTTTAAACTCTTTGTCAGAAATTCTGAGATCTGCAAGATTTCTCTTAGGTTTTGTTTTTACAGCTTTATTTGTTTTCGTTTCTCTTTTTCTTTCTTTTGGGTTAGTTTCTGAAGCTTTCTTTCTTTGTTTGGGCCATGTTTTCCTGGTTTTTTTTTTTTTTTTGGTATGCCTTGTGATCTTTTGTTGAGATTTAGGCATTTGAAAAAATAACCATTTTTACAAGTCCTTATGGACTGGGTTCATGCAGGGGAAGACCTTTACAAATCAGCTTGGCTAGGGGTTCTGAACCTCTAGACATTTTCTGGTGATGTGTTTGCTTTGGGCTTATGCATGTACTTTTAACTGTCTTAATTTCCCAAATGGCTTGTCCTGTTTCTTTTCAGGAGGCCACAACCTGTTGCTCCCTCTGGTGTCTGCTGGTGAAACTGCAAACTGTCTGCAGTTCTAACATGCTGCAGTGCTCACCTGTTTTCAGTAGCCTCCAAACTATGCCACTGTTCCTGTCAGTGTTCCAAGTCTGTCAAGACAGAAACCAATTCCTTGGGATCCAATCAAGATGGTGGAATAGATGGTCCGCAGAGTCACTCTCTCCCACAAATAAACCAAATTTACAACTATAAAAATGAAACATCAGTCAAGCCAGGGCCACTGGAGCTCAGGGGAAGAGGAGGAGAGACCTACAGAGTTCATGAAGGCGGGAGCAACTACCATGAGAGAAAGAAAAAGCTGCTCTGTGCATTTCAGGCCGTGGCTGCTTTAAGGCTCGAGCTGATAAGTGCATGGAGCAGGAGCTGGCAGAAACTTCAGCTGTGCCCTTCAGATGTAGTTACTTGGACGCAGCAAGAGAGAAGAGGGCCTTGGCGGCCCCCAGGACAACAGGACCGCTAATAGGGTTCACGTGGACCCACGCAGGAGTGAGGAGCCAGAACAACTGAAAAAAGGGAGCCATTCAGAGGCTGGCGAGTCATCGCAAGGGACTGGCGCAGGGCCCGTCCCATGGCAAGTGTTTGCAGCACAGGCGGTGGGGGAGACGTGCCCACCAGGGGAACACTGGGACACAGCAAGGACAGCTGATCTGCCCCCCAATCAGCACAGCACCACTCAGAGGAGACTGGTCAAGTATGCAAAATTGCATGGGGTGAAGTTTGATGAAAAAACTCAGGCCCAGATCAGGGACTCTACAGAACACAGATCCACTGGGTCTCTGGAGAGCCGGAAGTACCTATAAGGTCAACTGTTAAATGCTGAGCTGCACAAAAAGCCTTCCCTAGGGAAACAGCAGCAAAGTAGCAATTTAAACAACCACACAGCTCAAGTACTGGTTCCTGCAGAAAGTTCCCCGGTGTTAGAAGCAAAGGACAAAAAATTAGTTCAGGCCCAGGCACACCACCAGCACCTTGGGGCCTGCCTGGGAACTGGAGGCTTGGATCTGGGGAGTGGACCCCACTCCCACTTCCAGGCAAACTGCATGAGTGCCTCAGGGTTAGCCTGGGGACCTGAAGCATGGAGAAGGGACTGGACTCCCCTCCCACAACCAGGCACACCACGCCAGCACCTTGGAGCCTGCCCGGGGATCCGAGGCAAGGAAAAGGGAACCAGACCTCTCTCCCGCAACCAGGCACACTGAGCCAGTGCCTTGTGTCCCACCCATGGACCCAGGGTATGGAGTCAGGGACGGGACCACACTCCCACAACCAGGCACAACATGCCAGCACCTCGGAGCCCACCCAGGGACTCGGGGCATGGAGAAGGGAACTGGACCTCTTTCCCACAACCAGGCACACCAAGCCAGCACCTCAGAGCCCACCCAGTGACCCAGGGCATGGAGAAGGGGACTGGACCTCTCTCCCACAACCAGGGACACCATGCCAGCACCTCGGGGCCTGCCTGGCCCAGAGGCGTGCAGAAGGGGACTGGACTCTCCTCCCACACCAAGCACAAAATGCCAGCACCTTGGGGCGCACCTGGGTACCTGAGGCATGGAGAAGGGTACCGGACCTCCTCCTACAACCAGGCACATGGAGCCAGCACCTTGGGGCCTGCCCAGGGACCAGAGGCATGGAGAAGGAGACTAAACACACCTCACAACCAGGCATACTGCCAGTGCCAAGGAGCATGCCCAAAACAGCATCTCCACGTGGGTGGCCCACCACAGCCACTACAATAACCATGGCTGCTGCAAAAGTGGCTAGATGCCACAACCACCACACAGATGGTCCACCAACCACTGGAGTGCATTCACACAAGAAGAGTCACCAGCAGAGACAAAGATAAGAAGAGGATGTCTCTTTCCACAAAACCCATTTCAGAGTGACAGAAGAAGCATCTGCTCTATGATAATATTGGGGGACCTGATCACATCTCTCAACATTAGACAGATCATCTAGGCAACAGGTTAACAGAGTAACCATTATTCTTTCAGGAGAGAAGAAATCTAGGGCAATTAGACGGGAAAGGGGGAGGGAATGGGGGAAGGGGAGAGGTTGGACAAGGGGCATAAAAAATAATTATGATTTAGGCCGGCCCGGTGGCACGCTGCTACAGTGCGCCGCTTGTGAGTGCAACGGTGCTCCCGCCAAGGGTTCGGATCCCACATACAGACCGGTTCCCGCTCACTGGCTGAGCGAGGGGCGGGCGCAGCACCGAGGGTTGCGATCCTGTTGCCGGTCCCGGTCCGGTACGGGCGCGACACTGAGGGTTGCGGTCCGTTGCCGGACGGGAAAAAAGACAAAAAGGAAAAAATAATAATAATAATAATTATGATTTATAACAAAATATATGCTAGTAATATTGATTTAATCAACATATCTAAATGTTCAACCCCAAAAATATGTATAATCAATTTTGCTTCAATAAATAAAATAAATTTAAGAAAAAAAAAAGAAACCAATTCCTTGGGCAGTCCCCTAGCCAGCATAATGGATGCATGGTCCACTCTTTTGTTTCTGTCCCAAGGGAGGAGCCACGGTATGGGAGGTTTCCTCTTGGTTTTGTCATGTTATGCCAGGTAGGGGGAGGGGCATGGGCATGTAAGACACCACAAACTTTCCTACCTCTTTCAATGGAGTACTTTCTTGGTTATGCATCGGCCTGAGCACTGCAGCTTCTCAACTGGTCTCTAGAGTTCACACAAAGTTATTCTGGTCCATATATCATTGGTAACTCAGTGTCTCCATGGAGGAATAAGGGTCAGGAACTTCCTAGTCTGCCATCTTGCTAATGTCTCACAGATCATTCTTACTTAAAGCACTCTGTTATTTTACCCCAAACTAGACTGAGTGATCCTTTAGTCCAATATTTATTGTTAATCTTGGAACCTCAATACTCTCCTGGATTAGATTTAGTGTTCCCTGGATCCCATGACTCCCTTTCTTTTTTTTTTTTTTTTTCCCCTTTTTGTCTTTTTTACTGACCAGTAACGGGATCGCAACCCTCAGTGTTGCGCCTGTACCGGGGACCGGCAACGGGATTGCAACCCTTGGTGTTGCGCCCGCACCGCGCTCAGCCAGTGAGCAGGAACCGGTCTCCACATGGGATCTGAACCCTCGGCGGGAGCGCCGCTGCGCTCCCAAGCGGCGCACTCTCCAGTGCGCCACCGGGCCGGCCCATGACTCCCTTTTTTGATTATTCCCTCATTCCTTTGCTGCATACCTTCAGGTAGCTTCCTAACAAATAGAGCGTGGAGATATATTTTAAATTTCCTACATATCCAGAATTGTCCTTATTCAGCCCTCACACTTAACTAATAGTTTGGTTGAAGATAGAATTCTAAGTTAAAAATATTGGTTTCATCCAATTGTGTTAGGGTGAGCAGACAGGCTGGCAATTAAGCGTAGGGATTCCTAAAGATCAGAATGTGGAAGAGTTTTTCCCCAGAGTATTAACTCTTACACTAGCTGTCTTTGTTTTCTATAGATGGTTCATTCAATTTCCTTAGACAATGAATCATTTGGCTTTTTGCCTTAAGTGTAGGTACCCTGGCTACTGAATTTTCATTGCTCCAGAACAGAGGTTGACTGTTCCATCTACAGACTTTCAACAAATATTCATTTACAGCTCATATCTGACTCCCACCCTTTACTATATATTGTGTTTCTGAGTCCAAAGCTTCTCTGGTGCTCTGAGGGGAAGATCTCCTCTCTCCTTGGCCACAGCTTCTTCCACATGTATTCGAGCCTGTGGCATTCTCTGCCCAGCTTCATCAGTCATCATTCTTACATTTTATTTAGGTCTTCCAAATCTTCATTAAAATCTATTGTTCTTCCTATTGTTTTCATTAGCAACGGATTTATAACTTTCTCTATTCATTTATTGTTATTTAAATGGAATTTCAAGAAGGACAGTGATAATGAACATATTCAAACTTGAATTGGAAGATAGCATTTACTATTTCTTTTTTTCCCTCTGCTCTACAGTAGTAGTTGCAAAAGCACATACCATTTCAATAGAAATTTTTTGGCAGGAGTGGGAATATCAGGAGGGAATAATGATGTAGACTTTACTACCAGATTTGCTGTTATTTTTCTTTAAAGTTAAAACTTCCTCTGCAGGGCTGGCCCATTGCTCACTTGGGAGAGTGTGGTGCTGATAACACCAAGGCCACGGGTTCGGATCCCTATATAGGGATGGCTGGTTAGCTCACTTGGGAGAGCGTGGTGCTGACAACACCAAGTCAAGTGTTAAGATCCCCTTACCGGTCATCTTTTAAAAACAAACAAACAACAACAACAACAAAAAACCAACTTCCTCTGCAAAAGATACACCCTCATAACTCTTATGTTACCTCTTCCTCCATGACATAGGTGAGCAGTTTCCAGTCCCACTCCACTGTCTTGGCATTGGCTGGATGTAGCCTGAAAGTCAAGTGACATCAATTAGAAATCGAGAGAAGTTAGTGGAAGAATAGATGAGATCTGGAAGATGATAGAAGAAAGAAGTCTCCCCTTTTTCTCAGTGCTCTTGTCTGGTACCATACCACGTCAGTCTGAGCATAGTGGAACTTCACTGTTTTATGCTACCTAGTATCTGCTCCCCTTTTGGCAAGCATCACTACTCTAATTTTGTCTTGAAGAAACCAACTTTTTACTACTCTTGGTCAACTGGCTTTATCTACCAGGACTTCATGATGACGCATGTGACTCGTCAAGCAATCATGATATCCTACCCCTCAATTCACAATAATTGGCTCAAAAAGAGGCTTGTGTCTCATATTAGGCCAATTAAATCCTACAAGACTCAGTTTCAGAACTCTTGTGTGACAAGATAATTTTATAACACCAGGAGTGTCATAAAAGCCAGAGGCTGAGATGGCTACCATGTGGAGCCCAAAAACAGAACCAAAGCAGAGCTGAAAAATGCATCCTGGTAAATATTTTTGAACACTAAAGCAAGTTATTAAACAAGAGTTATTTTATATGAGTCATTAAATTCTGTTTTACCAGCTGTTAAAGCCAGTTTGTACTGGGTTTCCTGTCACTTGCAATCCAAATAACACTAATATACTGTCACCCTCCCTAAAGCTTAGGCGAGAGAAAGCTGTGCCCTGAGTCCAGGTTCCCTAGAAGATTTGTCAACAGCTAACTGTTACGGTTCATACTGTTGAATTTTCATGAGAAGCATGTAGGCCTCTTTTAGGACATCCACAGTCTCAGTGCCACTGAGCAGAATTTTCTGGATGATATGAGCCACAATTTCTCTGGGTGGATAATGCTGGGGTGACACAAAGTCCATCAAAAACTGCACAGTCCCCAGGGGAAAATTTTCTTCAATAGTGTTCGTCACCATTCTCAGTCTTCGATGAGGAATGGGTTCTAATTTTTGACCCTTGTTCTGTAGGGATAAAAAGAAAGAAATTAGGATGGCTCTCTACAGTACATAAAAATCAGAGGTTCTAGAAGAGTTTGAAGACAGCAAAATTTTACACATGTTTGAAATAGTCCATAATTTGAAAACAGAGAGACAGGAAATCCTTATCTAACAATCTTTCAATGACATAGGAAAAAGCTTAAAGGGTAAAAAATAAGAATACACCAAATTATTCACAATAATAAATACTGTCTGTTAGCACCATAGGTGACTTTCCAATATTTAAAAATATTTTATAATAAGCATTATTTTCAAAAGCAGAAAATAAATATTAATTTCAAAACAATTAACCAAAGATCTGACAGCATACGTTAATAGAGTAAAACCGTGATAGCTGAAATTGCCATTCCAGAAAATCTTCTGGAGGAGAGAAGACCATAGAAGAACATTCTGCAGGTTTACCCTAAGCTCGCTGATGAGAGACCATAACTATATACGGCATATAATAAGAATTAAAATGGAGAGAAGACAAAAGAACAAAAATCTTGCTTTGATGACTGGTTTTACATGTGATGCACTTTAGAATCTTCAGCCTGTATTATTAATTTTTTGCTTACAAACAGAGACATCAGCAAACAGAGAAACATTTATAAATTGTTTTGATGCCCATATCCTTAAAGGAACAAATGTTTATAGTATACTACTATAGGCCCCAAAAGGTAGCTATGCACTTTGTGTTTATCTTTGAGTCAACAACTCTGATATAGGCATTATGACTCTTATTTTTAAATTTTTATTTAAAGAATTTTTTAACTGATACATAATAATTGTACATATTTATGGGGTACAGAGTGATGTTTCAATACATGTATAGAATGTATAATGATCAAATCAGGGTAATTTAGCATAGCCATCACGTCAAACATTTATCATTTGTGCTGGGAACATTCGAAATCCTCTCTTCTAGCTATTTGAAAATATACAATAACTTATTATTAATCGTAGTATGACTCCTACTTTATTTTATTACTTTTTTTGCAGCTGGCCAGTACAAGGATCAGAACCAATGCTTGGTGTTACAAGGCTGCACTCTAACCAAACTAAGTTAACTGGCCAGTCTGACTCTTATTTTAGAGCTAAAAAAGACAGACTCAGAGGAGTTAAGGCCAATGACTGGTAAGTGACAGCAGTGGGGACTAGCTGAAGTAGTTCTGGGAGGAAAATGACCTGGTGGAGAAGTTTATATTAAAAGCCCAAAATAAATCATAGGAGAGACAGAAAAGATTACAGATATATTCTAGATGTCTGATGTTCTTTAAAAAAAAAGGTAAGAAATAAAGATGAAGAAGAAAAATCCACTTTGTCTAGGCTAATTGACAACTCATAATCCGAGCTATGTGAACCCCAAAGGGGGACAGCTTCTCTATCATTGTAGCACCTGCAAAGCACCACAGCTTTGACTATGGAAACTGAGAAACTCTTGGGAGTCCCCCAAGAGTGCTCTTGATAATGGACAGATGCATCACTAACCTGAGGCAAACCCACATGGAAAAAGAGAATGAGCTAGTGGTCAGGTGGAGTCATTCAGAAGGAGAAGACATGAAACATATTGGAAGACAACATTAATTAAAACAAGAGGGAAAAAAATCACTCTCCAAGGCCAAATCAGTGTGAATGCCTGGCACCTGCTAAGCTGGATCACTGATTGCTCCAACATGGGGAGGATGTGGAGACAGGGGAACTCTCCTACACTGTTAGTGGGACTGTAAATTAGTACAGCAACTATGGAAAACAGTATGGTGGTTTCTCAAACAGAGTACTTTAAGCCAGTCTTCTTAATGTTGAGGATGGGGCTGTGTATAACAAAAAAATAGCTTCAGACTGTGGGACTGTAGTGAATTGAATTATGTCCCCCCACCCCAACTCATTGAAGCTTGAATTGGGTTCCCTAAGTTTTATGTATTAGAAACTTGGTCCCTATTGTGACTGTTAAGAGGGTGGGAAATCCTACTATGGTAATTGAAAGGTGGAGCCTTGAGGAGGTGATTGGATCGTAGGACCTTGCCATAGTGAATGGATTAATAATGGAGGTCAGGGGTGTGATTCTGAGGGCTTTAAAAGAAGAGGAGAGTCTGTCTCTCTTGCTTAGCTCTGCTCTCTCTGCTTCCACCATCCTGCAATATGAGACTCCTGGGTCACTTTCTCCACCACCAGAAGGACATTGGACTTCCCAGCCTCAGAAATTGTAAGCAATAAATTTCTTTTTCTTTATAAATCACCCAGTTCCAGGTATTTTGTTATAAGCAACAGAAATGGACTAATACAGGGACTTAGCCACAATTTTTTTTTTCCTTTCCACATCTAGCTTAGTTCTCATAGATCAGTTAAGACTAATGGGAAGTAACATTCCCACTACAGTCTTAAAGTGGAATTTCTTCTCCTAAAGTCAAAGAGTAATACTTTTTGAGGCACTGAAATGACAAAAATATTATCATCTCTGTGATATAGGAGGTATAATAGGGCGTCAGAAAGGAAAGGCATAGGATTTGAAGACAAGAATTTGATGAAAGCCTATGATGAGCCAGACACTCTAACAGGCACTTTACATGTATTACCTCAATGAATGATCCTGTGAGGTACGTTTTTATCTACATTTTACAGATAAGAAAGCTAAGGCTCAAAAAGAATGAAAATAACAAATGCTGGCGAGGATGTGGAGACAGGGGAATGCTCCTACACTGTTGGTGGGACTGTAAATTAGTATAGCTACTATGGAAAACAGTATGGTGGTTTCTCAAACAACTCCAGATAGATCTTCCATATGATCCAGCAAGCCCACTTCTGGGTATATACCCAAAGAAATGGAAATAATCATGTTGAAGGGATACATGCACTCCCATATTCATCGCAGCTCTATTTACAATAGCCAAGGTATGGAACCAACCTAAATGTCCATCAATGGACTCCTGGATAAGGAAAATGTGGTATATATACAATATGGAATACTACTCAGCCATAAAAAAGAATGAAATTCTGCCATTCGTAGGAACATGGGGTGAGCTTAGAAGAAATTATGTTTAGTGAAATAAGCCAGGCATAGAGGGAAAAATACCACATGTCCTCACTCATTAAGTGGCAGCAAAGAGAGAAAGAAGGAAGGAAGGAAAGACCACAGTGATGCTTTGGACTTGCAGATGAAGAGAACATACCTAGGGTTGCTGGGGCTGGAGGGAGGGTGGAGGAGGGAGATAAGGTACAGGTTGAGTGGAGATACGGAATAATTGCAATTTGTGGGCATGCTGATAGCATTGATATGATCATCACATCTTGGTCACAGGTGGTGACGGTCAGCTTTGTACCCCATGAATATGCACAATCAATAAAAATAAAAATGTGAATGCTAAAATAAATAAATAAATAAAATAAGGAATAGCATCCACCCAGGAATAAGTTTTAAAGTCACAAAAAAAATTTATTTTTTAGCAAATCAAAAGTAGTCTCTCCTCAGTTTGTATGCTAATAACCTTGTGGCAGTTATATACTGTTACTTGCTATCACTCAACCAAAAAATGAAAATCTATAAGTTGTCATGAACTTTCTATCTAAATTGAGCTTAGTGGAAGAAGTACATAGGTTTCACTGTGTCTTAATTTGTGATACCCTTTCAGCTATCTGTATATTTCAACTTTTATGAACTACATCAAAGTTATTGACATATTGTGTTAACACAGAAATTCAGAAATAGAAATATATAGATCATCTTTCTAAAATACTTATTTACATTGTATCCTTAAAGCAGCCTCAAGATAGGATCATTCTTTTGAGTCAAAGAAATATTACTATAAGATGCTTAAAAGCAATTGATATTAACAGTATGAGTACATTTTTAGTAAGTGAATTAACTGACTTAAAAATAAAATATGAATATGAATAAACTTCATTCTAATCAACTGTATAGGTTTTATAGATAGAATATGATTTATTCATGTTTGAACCCAGAGAAAAATTAATACTGTAAAACATAATAATAACTATTTGCATTTTTTTCAGTTCTGATGTACTATTTCTAATACAAGTACAACTTGTTCAGGAGAAGTGCCTAATATCTAAAAACTTGAATGAATAGCTTCTTACCCACAATTTTCTTTTATATATTAATATGTGAGATAAAACACCTTAATATGTATGTTTTAATATACTCTTTAACTCATGGGAAATTTTATTTTTAATAGAAACCAACATGCTGTATGATCAATGAGGTTTTTTTTTTTTTTTCATTTAGAGAGAATTTTTCATAAGAATCTTGAAATTCTTTTATTTTCTTGAAACATAAAGTCTGGACTCCAAAAAAAAAAGAGTTAAGGCTGAGAAAGGTAGTGACTCATATAGGGCCAGTTTTTAAGTGTGGGGCCGAAATTTGAACCCAGATCTAACTCTACACCCAGTGATCTCCACAAGTGGGGGAAGGATAATTTCATTTATGCTTGGCCCGTGCTCTCATTCATGGACTCCCACCATACTAACTTTATTCTGTACCAATGGAAAGAATACCTAATTTCTAGGGAAAGATATGTTAACTCACCTCTCTTGCGTCTTTATCTGGTATTAGTGTCTGGAAGAAAAGGTGATGTACCGGAGGTCGTAAGAAGTACTTCAATCTATGTAGGCATGGTTTGTTGTACAACCCACCTTGTGGTGTTCGTGCTTGTACCTGGGTAGACCCAGGACAGGCAGGCTCTGATAGTGATATCTCTTTTCTGGCTGGGGTTTCCTTGACTGAGAGCCAAGGAACTTTCTCTAAGGAACTTTCAGATTGTGGAGACTGTGGATTGGGAGAACAGCTCCAAGAGGATGGAGCTGAGATTTCCATAGGAGTGTCACGGTTCTGTGTATCATTCCGAGGAGAGTCAGGCCTGTCTTGTGGTAAGTAAGGCAAGTCTCCAGGTGAGTGTGGCATGTCTCTAGGTGAATGTAGCACATCTCCTGATAAGTGTGGCACATCTCGTGGTGACTCTGGCACATCTTCTGGTGACAGTGGAACATGCCCTGGTGACAATGGACTATAGCCTGGTGACCGTGGGACATTTGGTGATTGTGGAACTACTCCTGGTAACTGTGGCATGTTTCCCAGGGACTGTGGCATGTCTTGTGGGTGTGCCACATCTTGTGAATATATGTTTTGAGATGGGCCTGGTACATCTTGAGGGAGGCCCAAAGAGTCTCGAGGTGGGCTTGATGAGCATCGAGTACGCTGTGAGTCTAAAGGTGGGCTTGGCACATTCTGCTGAAGGCCTGGTACATTCTGAGGGCATAGCACATCTTGAGGTGGGTGAAGCAAAGCCTGTGGTTTGCACTGTGTGGTTTGTGATGGGCACGACAAGGCTCGAGGTGGGCACGAGGAGGCTCGTGGTGGACATGGTGAGGCTCTCAGTGGGCAAGGCACATCTTGCTGTGGGTGTGGCAAGGGTGCCCTTTGTTTGCTGCTGCTACCATTACTGCTTGTTGGGGAGAGGGAGCTAACATCTGAAGACAGCTGTAGGCTTGCCAAGAAGCTGAGGTCACCTTTGAATGTGGCTGAGCTACAGTTCGGCTCTGCTGGATAAACAGAGTCCTTGCTGATGGATGAAGGGGGTTGGGGATCTCCAAATGTGGTTTCTTCTAACAGGTCCAAATCCACAGGATCACTGTTAATGATTCTCCGGACTGCAGGCCGAGAACTTCTATCTGCCCGCCCTTCTATCACCTCTTTGCTGGAGAGGCTGGCACACGTCTGAAGACTGTTTGGCTCCTTTTGGGAAGGAGTAACAGGTTCTAAAGTCAAGTCAAGAGTGGCAATGGGTTTATTTTCTTCCTCAGTTCCTGTCAGGTCAATCACACAGACTCCATTGCGATCCTTCACCCTTGGTCTGGTTTCTTTAGTTAAGTCAATGAAGTCCTGTTGAGGGATTGTGAGAAAAGAAGAGGTCAAGTAAGGAGTGTCAGCTTTATCTAAGAAGAGTTAAGTCTTAGCATTTAAGGATGAGCATTATTTTGCCTTTTCACTTCACTGATAATTTATACATCTTTTATAACATAAGCATTAGTTTTTTTTTGGTCATTTTGCTCCTGTCAGAGCGTCAATTTGAATACCTTCTTAAATTATCCAAATGCCACATGCGGATAAGTGGAAGCATACAGAGAAATTTTTTTTGTCCAAGGAGGACAAGGGAGTAGTAGGGGATATTCTAACCTTAAGACACAAAGTAAAAAGCAACCTTTGTTTGGTAAAGCAAATACACAGGACTACCTACAACAGAAGCTAAACAATAAGGGAAGCTAATAAATGAGAATCTATGTGCTAGGAACATGTTTAGTGCTTTCACATGATATCTTTAATTTCCACAATGACCCTATAAGGTAGGCATTATCATCGCCATTATATAGATGAGGGAACTAGAGGTCAGAGGGGGTAGATTATTTACCTAAGGATCATACAGCTAAGTAGCAGAGCCAGACATTCAAACACAGATCTCTCTCCTTTCCCTGCTAGGGCCTAAGAATGTGCAACTTCATTTAATATGCAATCAGCCTAGAAACAGATATGGAAGATAATACAATAAGTGTTATGAAACCAATAGTGTTAAGTCTAGATTAATCAATGGAAAACCTATCTCCACTTCCATTCCTTGACAAAGGAATGCCTGATGATGCCAGTTAGTGGTACTGTAATTATCCTTGTGCCACGAGCCTGGAACAATACTGCTCTACCTTCCACCTATCTTTTCACCTGGTTGGGTACCACTACCAATGGTACATTATGGCACTGGGGCTGGCAATGCTACTGCTTCTACCATAGCTACCATGCTATTTCTCTTAATAGATGTGATGGTCACAACTGTCAACAGCACCAAAGCAGGACACAGGATTCTGGGTGAGTCAAGTGAGAGGTTGACAGGTACCTCATCCTGGAATAGGGATTGTTTGGTAAAATCTAATGTCTCATTCCTTGGAAGGGAATATAGTGTCTCTGCCTTTGGTGGCTCTTGACTGCTAGCTGAACTGAACATAAATAGCAGAAAGGCCATTAATGGTCTGAACTCAACTCCTCTTCCAACTGCTAAAAAGCAATATCACCGTGTCTCTCCCCTTTAAAACCCATCAGCATATGAGCTATAGGATAAAGGCTAAATGCCTTAGTAAGGCTGCTACTATCCTTCATAATAAGGCCTTTGCTTACCTCTGGCCTCTCTGACTACTCTTTCTCCTCACATAAGTCACCCAGAACCACTACAGATCCCTAAATGTGGCATGCTTTCTCAAGTATCTCAATAGAATGACTATTATCCCTTTGTTTGGAAGTTTCTTGTCTTTCAAGAGTCAACACAGATATCACTGTGTAAAATCCCTCCAGATCACTTCTCATCCCAGGTTAAATTAACCACTTCCTCCCTCAAATTCCCACTGCACCTATACAAACCTCTCTATCTCCAAGAATTTAATGATATTGAAAATGGAAATGTATTTTTAATTTCATTTTCCAATTGTCCACTGCTAGCATAGAGAAATATGATTGACTTATGTACATTAACCCTGTACCATATAACCTTGCTAAGATCACATACTAGTTTGAGTAAACCTTTTTTTGTAGATTCCTTAGGGTCTTCTATATAAACAATCATGTTGTCTGCAAATAAAGAAGTCTCACTTCTTCCTTTCCAATCTATATACCTTTTCTTTCTTTCTTTTCTTTTTTTTTTTTTTGCTTTATTGCAATGGCTCAGGCATCTGGTATAATTCTGAATAAAAGTGCTGAGATCAGACAATCTTGCTTTGTTCTTGAAGTTAGAAGAATTTTGGACTTTTATCACTCAGTGTAATATTAGCTGAGGAGTTTCATAAGATGCCCTTTATCAGACTGAGAAAATTCCCTTCTTTTCCTAGTTTAATGAGTTTTAATTGGGAATGGTTGTCACATTTTGTCAAATGCTTTTTCTGCACCTGTTGAGATGATCATGACTTTTCTTTTGTTCTATTAGTACCAGAATTTATATGGACTGATTTTCTAATGTTATTTATTTATTTATTTATTTTAAAGATGACCGGTAAGGGGATCTTAGCCCTTGACTTGGTGTTGTCAGCACCACGCTCAGCCAGTGAGCAAACCGGCCATCCCTATAAACCGGCCATCCCTATATACTCAGCCAGTGAGCAAACCGGCCATCCCTATATAGGATCCGAACCTGCGGCCTTGGTGTTATCAGCACCGCACTCTTCCGAGTGAGCCACGGGCCAGCCCTTTTCTAATGTTATTTTAACTTTGCAATCCTGGCAAAACTCCACTTGGTTATGATGTATTCTTCTTCTATGTTGTTGGACTTTAATGTATTGATATTTTGTTAAGAAGTTTTCATGTTCATGAAGGATATTAGTTTATAGTTTCTTTTTTTTATGATTTCTTTTCCTGGTTTTGCTATCAGAATAAAACTGGCCTCATAAAATTACTTGAGAACTATTCCTACCCCTTCTATTTAGGTTGTGTTGGAATGGTACTATGTTTTTCTTAAATGTTTAATAAAATTCACCAGTGCTATCTGCACCTGAAATGTGCTTTGTAGAAAAGTTACAAATTAAAATTACAAATTCAATTTCTGTAGTAGACACAGGAATACTAAAATTTTCTATCCCTTCTTGTATTAGTTTTGTGACTTGTGTTTTTCCAGGAGTTTGTCCATTTCATTTGTCAAATTTTGGGGCATAATGTTGTTCATAATAGTCCCTTATCATCTTTGTAATTCTATACACTGTACAGGATTATTTATTCCCAATTCCTGTTTTTTATCACCCATATTGTTAATCTGTACTCTCTGTATATTTTTGTCCCTGTTCAGTCTAGCTAGAAGTTTATCAATTTCATTGATCTTTTCAAAGAACCAGGTTTTTAAAAAATGTTTTCTATTTCATTTATTTCTGTTATCTTTATTATTTCCTTCCTCCTAGTAACTTTGGATTTAACTTGCCCCTCTTTTTCTAGCTTCCTAATGTGGACGCTTAGATCATTTTCAACCTTTTTCTTTTCTAACAGTAGAATTTAAAGCTAAAAATTTCACTGTAAGTACTGTTTTACATAATTTTTAATATATAGTCACTTTATTATCACAAAGTTCAGATTTACTTTCATTCTGGTGAGAAAACATACTCCGTAAGATTTTAAACTTTTGAAATGCACTGAAACTTGTTTTATGTTCTAACACATGGCCCACCCTGCTGAATCTTCCTTGTGCACTTGAGAAAAAAGGTGTATTCTGAAGTTGGTTCTAGTTCTATAAATATCTGGTAGGTCATGGTAGCTGAGTGTTTTTCAGATCTTTGATTTCTCTATTTTTGGGGGAATCTAGCTCTGCTATCAATTACTAAGAGAGATGCATTTAAGTATCCAACTATGATTATGGCTTTAACCATTTCCCCCTTTATTTCAGTTAGGTTTTGCTTCAGGTATTCATGAAACTTTATTATGTGCATGTACATTTATAATGGTTACATCTTCCTAATGTAATTTTTTTTCCCTTTTTGTCTTTTTTCGTGACCGGCAACGGGATCGCAACCCTCAGTGTTGCGCCTGCACCGCGCTCAACCAGTGAGCAGACCGGTCTCTCTACGGGATCTGAACCCTCGGTGGGAGCGCCGCCGCGCTCCCAAGCACCGCACTCTACCGAGTGCGCCACCGGGCCGGCCCATGTAATTTTTTTTTATCATTATGAAGGATCCCTCTTAGTCTCCAAAATTCCTTGTATTTCAAAAAAACTTTTTTTTTTTTTTTTAAAGATGACCGGTAAGGGGATCTCAACCCTTGGCTTGGTGTTGTCAGCACCATACTCAGCCAGTGAGCAAACCAGCCATCCCTATATAGGATCCGAACCCGTGGCCTTGGTGTTATCAGCACCGCACTCTACCGAGTGAGCCATGGGCCGGCCCTCAAAAAAACTTTAAAATTTTTTTAGATACCAAAGCAGGTACCTTCTTGTACAGGTATCTATTTTTTCTGGTATTAATAGAGCCACTCCAAATTTCTTATGCAAACTGTGTGCATGGTATATTTCTTTCTATCCTTTTACTCCAGATCTATTTGTCTCTTTGTATTTAAAGTGCATCTCATACAGATAGCACAGAGTTAGTTCTTGCTTTTTTGGTCCAGTCTGACAATTGCTACCTTTTGATTAGAGTTTTTTGGCCACTTACACTTAATTAATGATGTTTGCTTTTAAATCTACAATCATTCCATCTGTTTCCTGTTTGTCCTATCTGTTCATTGTTTGTCTGTTCCTCCTTTCCCACCTCCCGTTAGGCTAATCACAGATTTTTTTGGTGTTCCATTTTAATTCTATTGGTTTTCTAGCCATATGTCTTTTTATTATATTTCTAATGGTTGCTCCTGGGATTACAGAGCAACGTATTCCAGTGTACTTAGAAAATATTCCATTTAACCTGCACCTCACCCTGTATTTTTGTTGTCATATGTATTTGTATACACTGTGAATGCATCAATACAGTATTAATATATTTGTTTTCAATATTTACTTGTCTTCTAAAGAAATTAACAAAAAATGGTTATTTTCTTTTTACACACATATTTACAATTTCTAGTGCTCTTTATTCCTTTACATAGATCCAAATTTCCATTTGGTGTCATTTCCCTTCAGTCTAAATTTCTTGTGGTTAAGTCTACTAGTAAAAAATTCTCTCAGTCTCTGTTTATTTGCAGATGTCTTTATTTTGCCCTTATTTTTGAAGGATAATTTTGCCACATATATTATTCTTAGCTAAATGGTTTCTTTCTTTCATCATTTGACTATGCCAGTCCAATATCTTTTGGCCTCCACTGTTCTGATAAGAAGTCATTGTGAATTGCATTGTTGTTCTATGTAACATATTTTTCTTTGGACAGTCAAGGAGTGAGTT